TGGCGATGGTTCTTAGCTATGATGTCAAAGCCACAATCAGCCAGAGAAAAAGGCATAAAATGGACTCCATAAAAATCTTTTCAAAAAGCCTTTTGCATCAAAAGACACCATTAAAGTACAGACCCTACCGAATGTGGAAAAATATTGGTAAATCCTACAGCTGACAAAGATCTGGTACCCAAATAATATGAAGGACTCTTAAACTCAACAACCAAAAACTAAATCACTCAATTTAAAATGGGCAAAGTATTCGAACAGATAGTTCTCCAAAGGAGATAAACAAATGACAGCAAACACATAAAAAGATATTCAGTATCATCAATCATCAGGTAACCTAGCTAAGGCAAAAATAACCCACAATGAGGTGCTACTTCACACTCACTAGTATGGCTGTAATCAAAACAGCAACAGAAGCGGTCTGAGGCTGCCTGTAAAGACAAGACACCCAGAGTGTCTTGGTAGCGCTCAGGGATGTGAGAAGGCTTGAGAAGCTCTCGAGATGGTATTTACAGGAATGGCAGCCAACACAGGGCTCGGCATTGCTCTGGAGAAGAGAAGAGCTTCTGGTACCATTGCTATCACCGAGCTCTAGACAACCTGTCTGTGTAATTGTCACCTTGGCACCAGCACCCAGTTATACCATGGCCTCTATCAGCACCCCCGGTGTGCTACTTCCTGTGTCAGGAGCCTGCTAAGGCTGCAGCCCTCAGAGGGGGTGTGCTCCGAGTCTAACTACATTTGCACTAGCTCTTGAGTCTGACAGAGTAAGGATCTGTACTTTTCAGGTTCAATAAGGGATAATCTTTTTCTTCCCAATGAAACTCAAAGTGTATTTGTGATGTTGAGGAGCCAAACAGACTCTGACAGAACAACTCTCAGTCTCGGGTGGTTCTCTGTCACTCTTAACGCTCAATCCTGGCAGGGACACCTCTAATTTCATGGAAGAGGGATTTGGAGCTTGAAAGGAGGCCAATCCCAGGTCATAGGACTATTCCTACCTGCCACCTCAGAGGAGGTGTCCTTTCATAAAGCAGCAGCAATAGCTGGCAATACCAACCATGAGAGCGATGGTCTCCTGACCCCAGGCAGCAGGAGAGCGCCCTTAGAAATAAAAATGGAAAAACATCCTGAAGGGTGCTTGATCCAAAATTCTCAGCTGAGGAAAACTTCTGAATTTCTGTTATGTAATGAGCTAGAAACAGGGATTCTGGGTGCTATTTAGGAGCATAACTAAAAATGAAAACCAAGTGAGATCTTCTTATTGGGTTTATTTATCATTAGGACTGTAAGGTACCACTGATGTTTAAAAATTGCTGCTGTGGTTAAGCGATTAATACCTTAGCTCAAAAACTTACATTGAACCCTGAGAGGAAAAAGAGGCAGACAGGAAGGAGGCTTTAATAGTGGGAGGGAAAAAAGCAATAGGAGTGGATTTGGCATGAAGCTACGAAGGTGAGCCAGGTGGGGTGTGGGAAGCCGGAAAGTCTGGGGAGTTAGAAGGCTGCAGCCTGAAGCTACTGGGCATGGGTGGAGGAAAGAAGCAAACTAAGGAAAGAAGAGTAAGGCAGAAGTCAATAAAAGGAGGACCATTTTCCTCCAGACCAGTAAATCTAAAAAGGAGTTTTGGAGAGGAAGACAAGTAAGTACTGTGGGCCAAGAATTAGGATTCAGCGTAAGCACTGATTCATCTCTTGACAAACCAACTGACTGAAATTTGGAGCAAATCATGGAATTATCTCGAGTCCTTCACATCTCCCTCTTCCTTTGAAATCACTTCTCTCCTAAAAATTCTTTGCTTTCTAGTGTAGCCTGGGGAGGCCTTGCAACGTTGAGTAGTGAGCAACATGCCAGATGTGATGGATTTGCTTATCCCAGGTCATCAAACATTTACCCATACCTGCCACCCTCTATGCAGGGACCATAGCACCTCAGTGGAAATAAACCCCTGCCCTTGGGGTACCGCTGACATACCCGGTCGGGGGATCGGGGGAGACCCCACCCCTCATCATAGTGATGCTCTCAGGGATTCTGCTGACCTGATGTTCTACTGGTCACCTCCAATTTAGATGAGTTCAACACTTGAGTACAATGAGCAAGCCAAGGGGAATATTCTTTCCTCTTGGGCAGTGTGGCTGGGGGCTGGTGATGCCTACAACCATTTTTGCTTGCAGGAGAGAAGACAATATAAATTAAGCCCTGAAGATTAATCAGATTGATAGTTGTTACTAACCAGCCATGTGACTCTGGGCACATTTCTTAATCTTGCTACACATTGCTGATCTGAACTACAGAGATAATACTGTGATAGTCAGGATGTCTTCAGTGTCCAGTGACAGGAAACAAACCCAGGAAAAAGGGAAGGGGACTTGTTGACTCAACTGAGCAAGTGAAAAACTGTAATACAGCGGTGCCTCAGGATAACCAGCACAAATGGTCTGCTGTATCTCTGCCCTGGTCACTGGATGTGGGGATCTCTCTATTTTTGCTTCTCTCTGCATTTTAGCTTCACTTCCTTCAACTGGCTATTTCATGAATGGTTGAAACATGAAATGTGAATGGCTGGCAGCTTCCAAGCTCGAATTTCTGGTTTAGTTAGCAAGAGAGGAGACTTGTGTTTTGAATCCCAAGCGAAAACCCTTTAAGAAGGCTTCTGTCTGGTCCATCTTGGCTCAGGTGCCCACTCCCAGGCCAGAGGAGAGCAGGGTACATAAATTGGCAGCTTCCATTCAAACCACATGATCACAAAGATTAAATATTTAGCAGAAACAAGTGGTGCTGTTTTGAACAGACAATCCTTAGATAGACTCTATAAATTTTATCTGGTGTGGTCGTTTGGGAGGTGAGATGAGACGATATATGTAGTGAGCACCAACCCCCAGGACTGGGCAGAGTGTACGGCTGGAAGACACAGCCGATGTGCTGCAAATTTTTTTTTTTTTAATCACATCTTCACCGCCAGGACTGATGCTTACCTAGATAGAGCCTTTGTGTTATGCTCAGTAGAAAAAGGTGTCCCTCTCTGCATGGATGCAGCCCAGTGGGCATGGGGTTGACAAACAAGTCACATCAGTGATGAGGAAAATAAATCCCTTCTTCCAAGGGGTTCCGACTCTGCAAGCCAGTCATGGCTTTGTGGGTCCCGTGTGGGCTGGGCTTTTGCTTCCTGCTTTGTACAGTGCAGACGCCCAGCCTGGGCAGAGGAGGCTACTTTCTCCTTATGTGGAGTTCAGAGGCCCATGACTGGCTGCAGTGTAAGGTCACAGGTTGAACTGAAGCCTCTCCCCCATACCACTCAGCTGGCCCTTGGGCCACCCCAGAGGCTCACTATTTCCCCACAAAGTGTCTGCTGTTCCTTCTTGCCCTGGTGCAAGGCACTCCACGTTTCTTGTGCATTCTTATTTTACTCTTATAAACCTCTTGAATCCTAAATCAAAGGCATCCTTTTGTAAATCCTCCCTCAGCAGGCCCAGAGCTAGGCACCAGTCACCTCTGTTGCTCTTCCAGAAGGCTGTTCTTCCTCTTCTACCACAGCACTGATCACATTATACAGTAATTATGTTTGCTCATCGGTTCCTTTCTGCCTCCCCCTCTAGTGACGTGGCTTTCCAGCTCTTTATCCCCTGCCCAGGAATAAAGCCTGGCATGTAGCAGATCTCAAGAAACGCTTGTTCAATGAAATACCCGATGAATCAATGAGGAGGAGGAAGTGGAGGAGAAGGCTGAGCAGTGATTTCACTGTTCTCAAACAGACCTTTTTCTGACATTTGCAGTGACACAGATGAGCAAAAGCCCTCAGGGGGCTGAGATCCTAGAAGCAAAGTTGTTTCCTGCCCTTCAAGATCCTGAAATTTGAGAACTATTTTCACCACCTGAAGCATTATCTCTGTCCCCTAGGTAAGTGAGTTTCTATTTGAGGTTTGTTTTGTCCTTCCAGCTAACCCATTCATGGACTGGGCTAAGCATTCATGACAAGGCCCCCTCCCCATCCCACATGCACACAGCTGGGATGACCCCAGAGCTCACAGTATTCCTGGCAGTCAGTCTGACTTTTCTTTGGGCCAAAGGGATGAGATCACTGTCACCAGTTACATCACCACTGCATGATGCATCCATTTGGAGTGCTCTGACATCTAGAGCTTCTTCTGGAGCATACAGAACCCTAATTCCTGCCATTTCTCAAGGCTCTGGAGCTGATCTTTCAGCCCCCTGGGCCCCTAGTAAATGTTTGTCTAAGAAGTAACATGATAACAGAGAGGCCAGAATCCAGAATGGGGAAATCTTGGAGAAGCCTCCAGTTTTCAGCCCACACCATCCCTCAAAAAGGCCTCCCCAGTTCTCCAACAGCTGCTTCTTCCTTGCTCCTAAAGCTATTATCAGGATCTCTCAGTATACACTCAGAGGGGCCCAAGAGTTCTCAAGGGTAAAACCTGCTCTTGCCCTTAGGATGAGGTCACAGTTTTGGCAGAGAAAGTGGAGGCAGAGAGAGGAGAACTGGCATATTCAAAGTAACATACAGTAACATACCGTACTCACCTGAGGGAGTGCCCAGCAGCTCCTTACCTCTTCTGATAGACTCTCCCTGAGTATACTAGTCCCAGCTAATGCTACCTGAAAAGAAATGGTCCTGCAGACAACTAAATTGACAAGCCCTCTTCTCTTTCCTCTTGAAGACTGGCTATAAAGCATGATCTGACTTCAAGGCACCATACTGCCTTCATTCAGGACACACACAGAAAAGCAGTGGGCAAAGCAAAGTTCCACTCTCAGACACAAAGGGGAGGAGTCTGGAGAGATGGGGCTCCACTAGGAACGTCCCAATGGCCAAGAAATCTTTCCGGACAATGGAAATTGGATTTGAAATTTGAGAGTTGAGGCCTGGGAGGATAAGCATGGGAACCCAACAGTGAGCGTCTCCCAAAGTGCTGGGATGCTGGAATCAGCCAGAAGCTACTGAGATGAGCGGCTACCTCTCTAGGTCTGTTTGCTTACTGACCACCTACCAGGCGTCTGAGGGACACGGTCCAGATGACTATTGCAGTCTCTCAATAGAACATTTCTAATCCTGTGAATGGATGAAAGGAAGCGGTCTATCTCCTGTCAGTGAGGGAAGGTGTCAGCTCTACGTGTCAGCTGGGAGTAAACCCAGAGTTTCTCCTCTCTCTCAGCACTCAATGTTTCACGTAGCACTGTTGGCCAGGGGAGGGACCTGACAGATGTTTTGCCCAGGCCAGGGTAGGAGTTGCTGTTTCCATCACAGACCAACTTTGGAGCATGAGTGTCTCTCTGCCTGGGATCAGAACCCAACTTCAAGGTGGCAACATGGTCTCAGACAAGGTCGCCTCCAGGGGGAGCCCAGGTATATTTTCAGATTCCAGAGCCAGCAGGGTGTCCCTTTTCTGGTTGCTGGAGCAGTGCATGGGTGGTTCAAGATGTTCTAACTCCCTTAGTCACCAGATTCAAGCTCATGGTGTGATAAGGGGTGGCGGATGGGACGATCAAGCAATAAGCCGGGAGTCCCTTCTTCCCAGCTCGTGGACCACCACTGCTCCCCCCATCACCCAGCGTTCATTAAAAATATTTTTTAACCTTCTTGATCTTTTTTCCCTTCTGATTTCTAGTTCTGTTGTGCATGTAGAGACCGATAAGATGGATCCTGCTTTCCGGGTAGAGTTCAAATATGTATGTATAATTTTGCATGACTATTGCGTCATCGTTGGAGCCGTTGTGGTTCCCCAAGCGGCCTCCACGTCTTCTCCCAGCTTCGGGGCCTTTGGACGCTTCCGGGCGCTGCGGGCACTTTCGCCAGGAGCCCTCGGCGCCGCCGGAGCGCTCCCTTCCAGGCCTCCTCCCCCAGCCGCACCTACCTTCCCCTCCCTCCTCCTCGGCTCCGCCTCCAGCTCGCCCCCTCCCCGCGGCCCTCGCTGGGAGTCAAGCTAGGG